AAATTACCAATTAGAATGTATTATTTAATATATACCCATCATTTTATTTTCTTCTTTCATTGGTTATATTTGTATTAATGACTTATCTCTTCTTACATCATTTATTTTTCTTTCTTTTTGTTCTTTTTCCAATTAACACAACTACATCTATTCAAAACAACTCAGAGATGTATGTTTTTAAAAACTAACACATTAAACAAAACTCGTGTTATTTAGGTTGAATATAACGGAAGACTATGAAAAAAAAAGAGAAAAAGATTCATAAATTCTTAAAAGTAAATTAGAAGCATATGCTCTTGTCATAGTCAGTGTTTTTTGAAATAAAGAGAATAACTGTTTAACAGAAAATCTGGTTACTACAACCATCATATATTACTAAAGATTTATAAGTAATAGAATATCTTAATTAGACTAATTGATTAATTAAATACTAATACTCTAATGTAAATATATATTAAACAGAATATTCACAATGACATACTTTATGTAAAGGTTCAATGTTTTAGAGTGGTATTACTGTTAGAAATATCCTGTTTTGATACTTTTTCAGTTATATATCTTAATCCTTTATTTTTATTAAATCTTTGTTTCATATTTGAAGAAAATTGTAATACTTTTTACTCGAGGAAGTAATGTCAATAATTTTGGTTTGTGTTATCTTATCAGGACTCGTGTTGTGTGTTTAATCAACTTATTAAAAATAATAAACTAATGTACTTAATAAACAAAACAACAATAAAACATCCAAATTGTATATCTAAAGCTAAAACAAAACATAGATGGATGTTATGAGTTTGTACATAAACAATAAAACAAAAGTATCTTCAAATAATATTCAATAGTTAAATTAATACATTTCTATACAGGTATTACAGTGAGACATGTGTAAAGTATTTATTTATTTAAAGAAAATCTTTATTTCATAATGGAATAATAAAAGAAGAAAATTTTATATTGATTTGGTATGAAATACCTTTAAAATAACGAGTAAATTGTCAATATTTTAATATGACTTTGGTTATTGATGAATCTTATAAGAGACATGAAAATGTCAAAAATTGAAATAAATGTTTATAAAAAGGAATCAATAATACATTATCTTCATTATTTATAAATCGTTAAATAGTATAAAATTCATTAGACATTAAAATATTTGGAAACAATAAAGTCTTATTAATTAAATTTTAATTACTATTAAACTATTTATTCAATGAATATAATTAAGATAAGTTTAATAAAATGACATAAATAACTATTATATGAATTAAAGATATGAAGAATATTTGTTTCTTTACAAAATAATATATGTTATTGAATTAAATATTTTTGAAGGCACTATTCAATTATTTTATTATAAAAAATAAATAAAGTAGATATGTTAAGTGCTTAATTTTAAAAAGAAGCATCGAAGAATTGATTATTCACATATACAAATTTAGAAGAATTAATGCTTAATTAATATTTATCAACCAGTAATAAACAAAAATAAAAATAAAAGTGTCATTCAAATATTTTTATATACTTTTGAATCAGGTTCATTAGATTTGTTCCGTTATAATGAATTTAATAAGAAAAATAAACCCTTCCATGATAAAAGATTGTGAATAGAGTTAAGTTAAAATATTACTTAAAAATAATTGAATTGAATTTTGACATATAATTCTAACTTAGATTATACTATTTTTAGATAGTAAAAGTTTTGTTCAATAACAAATATATAAGAAATTACTACCATCTAATAAACGATTCAATGACTTTACAATAATTGTTTTGAGAGAATGAAATAGTTTGAATTAATAATTAAGTTCATTTGATATTCTAATCGAAATGCCTAATGATATTGGTTATATTTTTCAGTTATTTAAATTTATAACTTATTTTAAACATCTATTTTTATATATAACTTACCGTTTTATTATTTTTGATAATCATTAATTCTCTTGTTTAATTTTAATGGAAAAGAAGTATTTTTATAAAACTACTGCATGGTTCATTTTTAATTTATTATTTTGTTATTTATAAATTATATTCTTATATTACTTTTGTTTAGTCTTAGATTAAAATCATTACTTGAATTAAATTGATTATTATGTTTATTTTATTTCATAATTTGTTAGTTTGATGTGCTGTTATTTATTAAATATTATTCATTTTTGTTTTCCATGACTTAGTTTGGTGTTTAAATAATAACCCAACGAATAGATTGACTATTAAACAATATTTAACAATACATCTTTCTGTTCATCTGATTTATGTAATAATATTTATGTTTTAATCATATTATATGTTTTAATGACTATAATACTTCATGTTATTTTTTAATAATTAATAATTAGTATAATATGTTTGATAAAATTTATGTTTGTTTATTAATGTAATTCATAATTTATAATGAATGATTATAGTATATTTATTTTAGTTTTACTTGATTTTACTAATATATTTTTGATTTTTTTTCTCCAAACAAACAGTCTATTTAAGTAATAAAATACTGCTTTCATTCACTTCATTATTTATTTTATTTATCGTATCTCGTTCATATCATTAACATATTTCTTTTATCAAATACTTTTCTCTGATTTTTATTTTCTTTTTGAATTTTTGATATCTTATCATTTTGATACTTTAATACATATACTAATTCTATAAAAAGTACAAATTTGGATAATTCTTTTTTTTTTATCATCTTTTACTACCAATATTATCTTTATTTATTAAATATTGTTTTTATTTAAATCAATATTTTTATTAAAGTTTGAATAAATATAACAACTGTTATAACTTGAAAAAGAAATATGCTATGACATAAAGTATTTTTATTCTATTAAATCAACTTACTATTGTTGATATTCATAATTTGAATGTTATTATATTTCCATTTATTAAAACGATAAATAAATTAATATTGATTATACATTTTTAATTATATTATCAAGACTTGTAAACCTCTTCAGTAATAATTATCATTTTTAATTTTTGTAAAAGTGATATATATAATTTATAAAAGAGAATGAGCTAAGACATTAAATGAAATAATTTTGTAGTTTTACGAATTGTTAAGATAATAATATTCATATACAAACACATTCAAAAGATTAAGAATATTAAAATAAAGTCATATTCAATTTAATAAATATCAATCTATCAGTTCATTTATAACTGTAGCTTCATTGTCTGTAAAATAAAACATTTGTGTTTGAATCAATAAACGGATGTTTTGAATCATTTGACCAGTATGGAAAGTCAACAACATCAAATCTTAGTATCATTTTACCTCATGGCATTGAAGAGCAATGGAAACATTAGTTGTCGATTGAAAGTTATTGTAAGGAGTTAAAAACCTTACACATCATAATTCAATAAGATAATTTAAATGAACATTCAATAATATTAGTTTCTTTCAGTAATTTATTTAAATAAAACATCATAAAGAGTAATACCAAATTGATATTACTATTATTTCTGTATATATTCAGTTGTTTTGCCTACTGTCTCTCAACATGAAAATCAACATTTAATAATAAAATTTTATTTCTCACAGAATAAAAATGGAATATTCATTTTTCTAATGATATTCTCAACGTTCTGGTTAATTGAATTAGCACTACTTTTTAATGAATATGTAAAAGAAGTGATTTGTTCTTATTTTTAAATTAAATAGTTATAAAAGAAAATCATTTGATATTAATTCTTATTACCATTCAACAGTTAAATAATATAAAAACAGTTCAAAATAACCAATAATAACTCATTAATCATATTCAAACAAAATTGGATGAATATAATGAAATGTATAATCAATACAACTTAATATTTTATTGTTATAACACTAATTAAGTAAAAAAAAATAAAGTGTATGATTAATTTTGATTCTAAGAAGTCAAAGCTCAATTCTTTTATATAAATTTATCTTCATCTAAATAGAAGAAAATGGGTTGGTTCTACTTATTTAGAATAAATAACATACAAACGTTATTTTAATGAATTATAATAATACAAAATGTTTTGAAATAATATCTATAAACAAATCAACACAAATGATTTTTGAAGATATAATCCAATTAAAATACAATGAACGCATCTTTTTCTTTCATGTTTTTACATAATGACATAGAATAGTCTCGTTTTGTCTAATTTGTTTGTTAAGTTTGTATAACAATCAAGTTTGTTTTT